TCAATAATTATTTTATCTAATATATATTCACTTACTTTTTAAATTAGTGCAAAGGAAGAATGCATTTACATGAAATAATACATTTTCCATTCGGAGCACAAAATAATACATCTCATGTTGGTGATCTGCTTCCAAATGGATGAAACAGGTCAGCAATCTGTGGTTTTCTCTGTTTTGATCACACAACTAATGTTAAATTTTTTCCTGTTATAAAGTGACTGGCTGAACATCACTTGAGTCTTTTTTTTTTATTTTATTTTTTTTTCTATTTGACTTGGAATCTGAAGAATGTCACAATCTGAAAGTTATCTTAGCTTTTCACAGTGGTTTGCAATTGCACACCAAGCATAAACACAAATATTCCAGGAGTGTAAGACCTTGACTGATGAAGGTAATGTAATACATATTCTTTGCTTGTCTGAACACATGCCAAGCTTTAAGTGCTGTCCAAGGAAAAGACTGGCTTGTAGAGCTGCATTCTGAATGGCTCAGTCAGCTGCCCTGTTAACTTCAAAACTGACTTTAAATGGTTAATTGATCTTGGTCATCTGTTTAGTATTTTTAACTTTTTTTGTCATATTAGTGCCTCATGCCAAGTGTGCATTATTAACCACTACAACTTTATACATTGTCTTGGCAAAAGATGCAAGTCTTCAGTCTATCCCAAATTTACAGGCTGCTTCTAAAGAAGAAAAAGACTTAACAGATTATATCTTTGCAGTTGTCACATTCTGAAACATGATTTGTGTTTTTCAGGTTTGTATCTCAGTCTTCCAAAGAAGCCTATGTGATTTCTCTCTATATCAACAATCCCCTGCTTATTGGTGGAAAGAAATTTGATCTTCGTCTTTATGTTTTAGTATCTACATATCGTCCACTGAGATGTTACATGTAAGATTGTATGTATTTGTATTTTGTTTTGAGGGAATATTTAATGTAGTCAAAATAATGTTGCACTTGTTGCACAACAAAGTTTTAACATGTACGTGGTATCCTAGGATGCCCTTTTCCTTCTGTCTTATTGGGGTTTAACACATTTTAATGACTTTTTGCATTGAAGGTATAAACTTGGATTTTGCCGGTTTTGCACAGTAAAATATACACCAAGTACAAGTGAGTTGGATAACATGTTTGTACATCTTACAAATGTTGCCATTCAGAAACATGGGGTAAGTGTACTGAGTTCTTAGGTGGGTTTTTGTAGCAAGACTGATTTTCTTAGATTGTCCCAAAAACTTGGCATAAAAAGGTTTTATTTGTCGTATTCTTCACCATCTTGCAATTAAAATACTTCAACTTGAACTTAGAAATAAATAAATTTCAGAAGACTGCAGATCAAAAGTATGCAAGATCATGAGTTGCAGCTCTCTGAGATAATGTGATATCGTCAGTATTGACTTGCAGTAGTTGAAAGCGGGGTGGGTTTTTTTCAAGTCTCCTGTTATTTAAATGCTAATATGCTCACTTAGCAATTGATTCTGTGAGCAGTGGAATTAATGAAGCCTGGTTCCTGTGGATTTGTATTTTATAATAGCACTTTAATATCGCCTTCCTGATCTCCCCCTCCCTCTCTCTCTTTCCCCATGCAGTTAATTCAGCTTTCCTATTTCCAGCATTTATTCATCACAGTACTTTCCAGCTTCTTTCTATGTTTCCCCCTTCTCCAGCCCCCCCCTTCCTTCTCTGGGTAAGAAAGGGAATGTGCAGTTGCGAGCTTGGAGAGAAAGGTTTGCTGCCTGGCCGGCTGGTGGCTTCCTCTTGAATGGACAAAGATGGAGTTCTGCCTGCAGAACAGTTCTGTCCTGTAATTTGCCATTGATATTCATAAAACATGTGGAAACCTGATGGCTTTGACAGCACTTCCCTGTGTCAAAATAGGCTGAAATTCACCAGGCAGAGGAAAGGCTGCTGGGTCAGGGGTGACACACACAGATGGGCATGCAGTGTCACTGCCCGAGCCCTGCTTCTTCAGGGAATCCACTTGATGATGATGACTGTCCCTTCTGTGTTTTTAGCGGATGTCTGTGATTTATAAACCATGCTTCTGTTATAGTAATTAAAACTCTATTGTCGCACTTCCTAATTTCATAGGTTTTATTTTAAGAGTATGGAAAATTAATGTGTATGTACATACACGTATGCATACACTCATGCATATATATTCATATGTGTATACACATACACTCATACACAAGGTACATAGCACGTATCTTAAATTGCAACCTTGCTATATGTGCCTTGTCTATTATTGTTCTGTAAGATGTACAGCATAGCAGAGCTGTTTTTATCTGGATATTCCTGTAACAACAATGTGAATTATAAATGTCACTTATGGTGGTAGTTATAAACCAGGGTAAGTGTCAAAACATAGCATTTTTCAATACTACAAACATTTTCTTGCTCAGGTGCTGTTTTGTGAGGTGCTTCAAACACATTATGGTTTGAGAGGGCTCACTGAGAATTAGTTGTGGTGAAAACAGATCCCGTACAACTTAGAGCATAAATCAAGGTGCTGTTGCCAGTAGTGGTGAAGAGGTGAGGCATGGGATATGTTGCCTGTCCCACTATTATGCATGCTTTCGTCTTCTCTGCCAGTTAAAGAATGGCCTTCAAGAGTTCTCCCAAATAAAAGTAGAAGGGAAAGTAGCAGTGAGATCACTCTGAGAGAAGAAAGTACAACAGAAATGGGTATAGAAGTAGCAGCTTAAAAATGGGGAGTCATTGCTAGAGTATTGGAAAAACGTTTTAGAAATTCTGAACCACTAACATCTGTTGAGTTTTGCAGAAAGAAGTGAGAAAAGTTTTATGTAAAGCCATTCTATCCATCCTATCTGTCCTTCTGTTTTAAATGTGTCTGTAACTTTGGAGGCACTTAGGCTGTACAGTTTTAGAAGAAGAACCTAATATGAACTGTCAAGTAATTTATCAAAATTATGAGGAGGTCTGAAAAAACTCTTTTAGGTTCTAGCTGTTAATTTCTAGTCTAATCCCTATGTGAACCTTAGGGGTCCAGTGTGTTTGTACCCTACAAGCTTATGGGACAACATCCCTAATTTGAAAAGCATACGGTTCAATATGGGGGAGAGGGGAAGGGTAAAATGAAGGAAGGAAGGTAAGTCAGTATACCCATCGTAATGTTTGTGCTGGAAAATACAGTTTGAAGTTGTTACTCGCTGCATATGTAATACAAACAAAACAACCGTAATTTTTTTACTTAATTATTTCCAGTTAGTGATCTATGTAGCCTGTAATATTCTACTGTTTTAATATTTTTAATTAAGCAGCTGTGATTGTGTAACATTCTACCCAATTGCAATCTATTTTGATTTGAGTGCTTGTTCTGAAATGCAAAGAGGGTTGAAACTTTGATCTCTGTTCCCTTTCTGGAATCTGGTCTCAAGACATTTCTTCCATGCAGCAAGCCCTGAGAACCATGTTTCAGATCTTTATTTGTACAGTCCAGTTTTCCAAATTTACTAAGGGGGGAGCTGTAGAAAAAGCCTAAAAATAGATGGAGGCTTCTTTGACCTTGTCTTAGAGGATGACTGATTTCGTTCCTCTGAGAACTTTTTTCCTGCTCTATGCATTCTCTGTTTTGTAATTTAGCAGGCATACAATCATTACTTCTTAGGAGTGCTCTGAGGAGAACCTCAAAGCATTTGTCCTGAGACTTATTTGAGGGCTGAATGTGTGTCTTTCCATCAGTAAGAATACCCTCAGTTTGCTCTCATCTTCCCATTTAAAGAGAATGTAGTACAGAGCCTTGATAGTCTCCGAAAAGACAAATATAAGGTAACCTCCTTTTTTTCCCCTGTTCTGTTTCAGTAGCCCTTTGTGTTCTTTCTATATCAAAATACTGAATCATTTGAAAAATTAACCTTTAAAAATAATTCAGATGTCATTTCACTGTCTTTTTGAATGTAACTATTGTCAGTAGCACTGTTAAGAAGATACAGTGTTTGCCTTTTGGGAAGCAGACAAGTCACATTTGAAAGTGCTTGTCTGGGGTTATTAATTTAAAGTGCTGCTTTTTAAAACAGCTAAGTTAGTGAAATTTAGCTATTGCCCACTTAATTATTTCTTCCATATTCCCAGAGGAGGACGAAGTTCAAATCTTTTCTTTCACATTTTAAAACTTACATTTCCAAATCATAAATTATGTTTTACTGTAAAACTGTCAAAGTACCAGTTGTTTTTTTTTTTTCTTGTAAGAAAGATTTGTTACTTGATTTGCAATGTGTGATGTTAAACATAGACAGCTATAATAAAAACAGTTGTTTATATAGAGGACAGTTCAAAGTAAAGCCAAAGTCTTCATAAAGCTGTAAAATAGTATAAAAACAATTTGCTGAGTTTGTTTTTTAAAGCAATACTTGTATGTAAGTCTAAGTGGGCTTTTTGTGTGAATGAAACAAAACTGCTGAACAACTTCAAAATCTTAGACTGAATTAACTCCTTAACTCTTCAGGATGATTACAATCATATCCATGGAGGCAAGTGGACAGTGAGTAACTTACGCCTATATCTGGAGAGCACCCGTGGAAAGGAAGTCACAAACAAGTTATTTGATGAAATTCACTGGATAATTGTGCAGTCACTGAAGGCTGTTGCGGTGAGTACTGTTCCTGAAATGCTGCCAGCGATAGCAATATGGCTTGCAGGCTTCTCATAACCATGCAAGTGAATTTGCCATCAAAACCCCTAAAATCTATTTCCTGCTATTTGAGATTTCTGCAGTTCTGTTATCTTTTGATTTCTCTGAGCAGAGTGAACTTGAATCTTGTGTGGGTGGGTGAGCTATCTGCGTATCGAAGAAGTGAATGAATCTCTTTCCTTCAGGGCTCTGTGAACTATTTAATAGGACTTGATACTGCCCTTGTGAATAGTATTAAGCTCTGCCAAGGCACATGACGTCATTTCAGCAATAACAAATGTGTCAAAGAAAAAATAGCTCTGGAGGACAATTTATCAAAGAAAATGTAAGGCTATTAGTTGAGCAGAGTTACATAACTTGCTTTCACCTCTTTTATGCACAAGTCACGTAGTTATCATGAACTCTCATTTAAAAAAAAAAAAGCAGCAACAAGTCCTCTGCTTGAGTGACTTTCTAGTGTTTGGGTAATATCCCATGATTACATAGAGAGCGGGTATCACCCTGTGGGGCAGCTGGGGTAACTGAAGAGCTCACTGGTGACAAGGACTGTCCTGTTCCCAAGTGCACAGTCCTGTCATCTCTTTTGGTTGGTCCTGGCATCATCGTGAGCTGAATCAGCTCACTTGCCCAACTGACAATTACTATCTTGCTTTATTGACGGGTTAGTATTCTGCCAGTGTAGCAAGCTGAATCACCTCACTGCAGGACCAGCTGAACACCAGAATCAGCACAAGAAAGAGGGACAAGGTCATGAAGCGAGGATCAGAGGGATCCATGGGAGGTGGGGAAGCATGGCTCAACTCAGCTTCTGCCGTGCAATCATATTTGAAACCAGTTGTGAGAAGAAAAGGGATTTAATCCAAATGTTATCAGAACCTTAAAAGAGAAAAAGTCTTGAGAATGATGGAGCATAAAGTGTTTTGGTCCTCTGCCTTTCTGACAAGGCAGATGTAATGAGAGATGCTTGCTCCTCCTTCCCCCTTTCTATCCCTGAAGAACTGAAAAGCTTTCATTATTAGTCTAGGGGAAAACATCTTGCTAATCTGTTACAAGGTTTCTTCTTTAAATGATGTGATAAGATTTGCATAGAAAGAAGTGCATAGTCTTACCATGCATACTGCAAATGTTTAGCAGCTGCTGGAAAACTACTGATTCTCTAGAGGATGTGCATCTAAGCTTGACTCGGTCCTTGGTCTCTCTTGGCTTTCAGGATCACAGTTGACTTGAGATAATTATAGTTTTAAAATGTATCTGGTAATTGTTTGACCTCAAATTTCTGCATAGTTACAGCAGCATTATAAAAGAAGTGTCTTTGAATAAGTCTCCTTTTTCTGAAGTTTAAAGAACTCACGATTATGTGCAGCTGTGTTATGTAAATTTTAAAACTTCCTGATTTCTCCTGATGCATGCAGGCTTTAAATACTGTTATTACTTTTGCAAAATGTGAGAACACTTTTATTTTCACACTGGAAACATAATGGAAAATTAATGTAACAGTACTTGGTATTAATGCAATCATTAATATTGCAATATTTGCTTACAGCTTGACAAAAAGAGGCAATGCTGAACTTACTAGTTAGCAAGCTTATATTAGAGTTACAACACTGAAAACTGTTGTAGAAGAGTCATAATGCAATCGCATGTGATTTTTAGCAAACAAAGTGTGTAATCAGGTTACTTAGTAAATTGTTGATTTTAATACATACTGTTTTTTGGGTTTGTTTTTTAGCCTGTAATGAATAATGATAAACACTGCTTTGAGTGTTATGGATATGACATTATCATTGATGACAAGCTTAAACCGTGGCTAATTGAGGTAAAGTTACATAAAATACAGGAAAAAAACCTTCCTTCTCGTTTCATAGAATAAAATTAAGATTATTTCAATGTAGTCTTTCCTGTTTTGAAACAATATCTTTTGTTCCTCAGGTAGGTGGATTAAGAATATTGGAAAGTAAAATAGGCCACGTGATGACCACTAGCTAGCATGTGCTTTTGTTTCCTATTTGTTTGGTGTTTCTATTTGTTTGTGGCTTTCTGTTTTGTCTTTTAAATCCAGTGCATCCACACAATTGGACTGCAGAGGCAGTCCAAATGTTAGTAGCCCTCTTAGATAGTGTACCAGTAGCTGGAAAATTGGCATCGGCTTGATAGACTATAACATCAAACGTAAGTTTTAAGTGCTGTCACAGCCTTAACATTGCAGGTTGAGAAGAAAGAAAAGGGGCACATAAAGAATAATTGGGATATTTGGAAGGCTTTTTTTTTTTTTTCCACGTAGATTTCTCTTTAGTGTGTTAACTTTGGACCTGTACATTCAACACAACTTTTATCCAGCCCTCTTCCTTCTCAATCTAATTAAAAGCAAAAGATCAAAGGTAAATGGACTTTATTAGAAAAAAAAAAATCTCTTTATTGTTCTGATACCACTTGTCCATAATAAATGTGGAACATAAGAGATATGTTAAATGAACCCAGTTTTAATTAAAACAAGATGCAATATAGTGCTTTGACTAGAGAGCACGTATGTGTTTCTCCAGCTCACAATTTAACAGGGGAGAACTCAGATTAAGAACATAAATAAAAGCTGTTTACCTAGAAGAAACGCACAGATGCCTGTATATAACAGCTGCTGGAGTGAACCAGGCAAATAGCAAGCACTGAAATTTATGGGGTTTGTATCCATGTAAGCTTAGAAAATTAAACAAAAACCTGTCATGTCTGATTAACCCTGGTGAACAAAAATCTTCAGGCTGACACTGCAGACACTTAGTGCTGTGGTACTTTTGTTTTTAAGTAAAAAGAAAAATGCCCAGTGGGGGATTCCTTCCAGTGTCTGAGGAACCGAAAGACGCGCTTCGAGACGCTGAGTCTTAATTTCCCAAATAGTACATGTAGTCATCACACTTGCTGTCTGGAGAACTATATACCACTCAAAAAACTGATGCTGACGTTTTTTTCTTTTGTAGGTTAATGCTTCCCCTTCTCTTACTTCCAGTACTGCTAATGACCGCATCTTGAAGTATAATCTTATTAATGATACGCTAAACATTGCTGTGCCTAATGGGGAAATTCCAGACTGTAAATGGAATAAATCTCCACCAAAAGAGGTTCTTGGCAATTATGAAGTCTTGTAAGTTTTATCAATGTTCTATATAAATGCAAAAGTTTTTTAGTCACCTCACTTTTTTTTAATGTGTAATGTAGACCACAGAGATAAGGTGAACTTCATTTTTTTTGAAGCTGCAATAGCAACCCCGGAGGTGGAAGTGCATTAAAGCAGAGTTGCCTCGCCTCATCTCCAGAGGGGGTGTTACTTGTCTGGTAAGCCTTCTGCACCTTCTGAGCTTCCGGCAGCTAGATTTGAGGGGTAGAGGCAAAAAGGCAGTGTTTGTCTTCTGGATGTGTAGAACTTTAAGTGTATTGAGTGTAATATATAGATGGAAGTTAAATAGATATAATAGCTATTTGATACATATTTTCCCTCAGTTCATAGAAATTATGCCTCTTGAATCCTGTAATTCATGGATGTAATAATAATGAGTTATCAGATATCTTTTAAATTCCCCAATGTGTATTACAAAGAGAGAAATGATGAGATGGGGATCTTTATATAGGAGGGACTGAAGGATTTATCTAAGATTGATTGCTCATATGCAGAGGAGCACTGATTTAAATACCATACTGATCATACACTTTCTTGTATTTTTTGAGATAATGTTCAGATATGTTCTCTAGCACTAGTGGTACAATTGTTCAGTAAGTCAGGAATGCGGTTATGTACGTAGTTGATCCACTAGCTCATACTGATCTTAAATACTCTTTCTATATACTAGTAAAGACAGTTAAATATGAATATTGGCTGAATTATGATTTAAGTTTTAATGAATGTTATATACATGGTATCTACGAATACCTATACAATAGTGTAACAAAGCATATATTATGATCACTTTACAAAATATTGTAGTATTGTCTTGATAATTATGATTATGCATCTATAGCTAATTTCTGCTTGGAATTCACATGGCAGCTGAGAAGTAAGTTTATACTGAGGTTATCTGAGGCCATAATGGGCTTAGATATTTAAAGAACTACTTGTCACTGTGGTTAAGCGTCATAAATGTCATCAAATGCATTTAATTTAAGCACGCTGTTGTTTGTCACCTCATTCTTTCCCTACTCACTCTCTGAAGCAACAGTGGAGTTTTTTAACACTGCAGCTAACAATCCTGTGTCTGAAGCAATAGCTCAAGACTTTATTAAACTGCCAGCAGTCTGATGTTCCTGCTTAACCACAGACCTACGTAGTGAGGAGAAATAAGGATGTACATGGGAAATTTCACAAGCATGAAATTTCACAAACTCAGGAGTTTGACCAAAGCTACCAGACGATTTGTTTCTTTCAAAAAGGAGCTGACAATATTTCAGTTGATCTGTATTGTAATATCATGTGGTAGTATATTTCCTTGATTAATAGCTGCATATCAAACTATGCATGTGTAAACCTATGTGTAGAACAGCTTGTATTAAATTTCAGTGCTAGATATTAAGCAAAATAGAATATAGAGGACCCACTCTTGTTTGTGTAGTGAATAGCAAGACAAGGCATTGAACAGGTTATCTTATTTTCAGATACGATGAAGAGATGGCGCAAAGTGATGGCCCTGATCGTGACTTGCGAGGTCGTTCTGGGCAGTCCACAGGAGTAAAAGGAAATCGTGCAAGAGATTCAGGAAAGCCTGTACTAACCACCTGGAAGTGATAACAGAAAAAACAGCTGCACTCTTGGTAGGAAGAAATCATGAACAAAAATGAAGTTTTTGCACAGATTCCTCTGTTCTGCTACATTGCATGTGGGAAATATTAAAAGAGGACAATACAGCCTTTGAAAAGAAGTGAAACAAATGCTCTAAAACCAGGAACTCTACTAGACTTACACTGACTTGATGATGATTATTACGATAATATATATAGTATGTATGTATATATAATTATTCTATATATACATACTTTGTATAAATTAATATTCTCTCAGTAATGATTAAGAACTTTCTTTATAAAGATGGCAACTCAAAACATGCATTCTGAAAGAAATCCCTGGTTGTTCTGCATATCATTTATTTCCGACAATAGCCTGTCCCTAGCTCCCTTTAATCAATGAGGTGTGGATTCTGTAAAAGCGTGGTAGTGGCGAGTGTTAATATTGTCACAATAATGGTTCAGATTCTTGCTAGTGAAAGAAGAGCAACTAAAAAAAATAGCAATACATGGACTTGAGGTTATTGTTAGTTAATGCAGCTCATGATTTATAACCAGTATTAAGAAACTGAAAAGCAGCTTTTTATATGCTGAGGGCTTCGGTTTGGGGTTTTTTTATTTCCTTTAAGTGTTTTGATCTGCTAACTCTTTAAAGGTACAAAGTTTCATGGACTGAGGGAGTGTTTGAAATGGTATACTGCTGATGCATAATTTCACTAGCCATTAATTTTTATTTCAAGATAATGCATGTCTGTATAAAAACAGACAGAACAACTACATGTTGTAATAAATCTCAGTGCTTGAAGCTGATGATAAATCTTTATTTGCACCAGAATCTCTTTGTGTATTTATGCATGTATATAAGTACAATATCTGTATATTTTTGTATATTGTGTGTGCACTGTAACAAAAATATTGTTGCACGTGGTAAACTGTTTCTGGTAGCTCTGATAACAAAAGTTATGATGAATAGCTACCAAAATGTATAGAGCAAAGGTTAAAAATAGGTATTTCAGTCTTTTAACAGCATAGCATATAAATAAATTAGTTGTGTCTGTGATTGGCTGCTGCTTCCACTTGCATTTCCACCAGCTATTGGGCAGTTATTTATAAATGTCAATGTGAAGTTCTGGCTGTCTTTATTCTCCTTTCCCCTCCTCCCTTTTTTTTGGATGGTGGAGTCTTGTGGAGAGAAAGACGAAGGAGGCTGAGAGTTGGCAAATGTCTGTGTAACCATAATGCACTCTAATCTGGATGCTACTGGTGCAGTGATACCAATCTGCCTGCCACAGCCGGCCACGTGCTTTGCCCTCCTATGTGGCAGGCCACTAAAGTGCATGTAAAGTAAACTTAACTTCTCCCTCTCTTTTTAGTTTCTTGAACACATAAAACAGACCACCTGCACCACAGAAAATGTTGGTCCTTTTCCTGCTTTTGAAGGTCCTCCTAGAAGAGGGCAGCTGCTTGCCAGCTGCGGTCTCTGGGACAGTTGGTGCTGGTGACTCCCAGTCTGAACACAGTCCGGCAAAAGCAGTTTGGGCTGGGGAGAGAGGGCGGATGTGGGCTGGGCTGACCGATATCCTTACACATGGTCTGGGATTCATCCTTGCAATAGAGAGTGAAATATGTAGCCTGAATGAGTCACTCCAAGTGTAATCCTCATCTTGACTAATATCGTATATTCCATTAAAATAAAGACTAAAATCCAACTGATTCTCTGGTCAGTAGACTTGAGTCTTCTCACTGGCCTCTACAAAAGCATATTCAGGTTGGCTTTTGAAATAAGGCTAAGAAAAGATGACTACTGCAAGACAGTAAAGCTCATCTAAATCCCAGGTCTCATAGGTTTTGGGGTCGGGGTTTTGTGTTTGGTTTGTTGATTGTGTTGGTTGTGTTGGGGTTTTTTTCCACACTTTTTTCCTGAGTCTTGCTTGTATATTTGAACCTTGATGGGTAAGCTACTCTTAAGCAGATGTGTGGTCAGATATTAAGTGTTGTTTTAATGATGTGATACTTAGTGGGTGGATGTTCCTGGCTTTACCCCCAGCTGCCTGTTGGGGGTAAATCAGGAAGCAGTGACAGCCTTAGGAACTATCAGACTGAAATAAATAGTATTTGTCGTATGGTTTTATTTCTTGCAGATAGGCAACACAACAAGAATACTCTGATAGAAGGAAAATGAAGCTTTCTCTAACTTTCGTTTCCACTGCTTGTAATTAATTTCTTTAGTAGCTTGGACAAAGGATGTTGCCGTAGTCTTGTTCTGTCTCAACAGCAGTGCTAGCGAGGATGGCTATGATAGAATGATTACTGCTTCCCTTCACCTTCTTTCCTGTTTGTGCAGCCTACACTGGTGGGACTTTATAGGGAAGAGGTATATCGAGAAGTGCAGATTCTGGTAAAAAAAGTCAACTTCACACTGTTACTTTTGGAGTATGTAGGAGTCATAACTTACTAACTGAGCTACAGTGACTTTCAGTCTCCCTTTTAGAAAGGCTTAATGTGAAAGCAAAACCAGCTCTGGGTTATTAGTACTTATTGCTGTAGAAGGCTTTGGAGGCTTAATCTAGGGAATACTTTTTAGCTGTAATTTCACAATGAACCAAAACTGATGGTAGTATCTAAATAATCTCGTTCTTCCAAACTTGTTTGTAGGCAGTACTCTGTGTTGGCAGAGGTGTCTTCACAGCTAGGCAGCAAGTTGAATCCGGGCCTCCCAGAACACAGAAGCTGATGAGGCAGAATAGGAACGGCACTACCTGTACTATTACTAATATTGAATGTTCTTACTTGAGCTTGCACTTTATTACCCAGCATAATAATGCATCTCTTCCAGTCCTGACTTCTGAGAAATTGTCATCATGTTAAATCAGTGGAAGCCTTGTTATTGCTTTCAAAGAATAAGGATTTCTGTCCCAGTGTGTGGCAGATATATTTCATTCACATACAGTATTTGCAGAGCACTGTTGTATACGGAAAATATTTTTGTAGCAGAGCTATCAGTTTAGAACAAGCAAATCCTTCTCTCTGGTCACAGTAGTATTGGGAAAGCATTATTTCAAATGTTTTACTTGAGGATGAAATATCTCTAAAATATCAGGTAAGTTATCATTACTATCTCAAAATCCAAACATTAAAGTATTACTAATTGGGAGGAAAAAAAAAAAAAGAAAAAGCTCCGACAGGAATCTTTGACTGTGTAGTACTTAATCTCTGAACTAGAATTTGGATTTAAATGCTGATGTTACATTTTCCACAGTTATATCTCCAACCAACGTATTGCTAGTAATTTACCCTGCTGACCCAAATTTGAATTCAGTAATGCAGTGTTCTTCTTTAAAGAACAAGAAGTCAAAGAGACTGCAGATAACAGTGACCCCTCTCTTCCTGATCTCATTCCACTTTCTTTTTAAAAACAATATACAAGTGATTAGATACATCAGACTGCTTTCTCCTCATTTCCTTTTCCAACAGGCTTTTTGCAGAGGTTGAAGTTTGAAGGCCTAACTATATTTTCACTTCTAATACATGAAAAACCAACGTATGTGAAGGGAGCTTTAAGGAGCAAAAACTGAAGTAACATGAAATTCTAGATGACTAAGACTGGCTTTCTGGTTATCAGTAACAAACAAATCAAAAAAAAAAAAACAACCCTGTAAGCAAGCAGGAAGTCTTCATTTTCTATGAAGAACTTGAGGCCTCATGTACATAAGTGAAATGTTCTTGAGAAACTCAAAATTAGGAACCTCCGTTGTTATGTGTTACCTTTTTTTTTTTTTTTTTTTTTTTTCCCCGCGTAAGACCTGTTGAAAAATACAGTGGTTCTCTGAAGGAATTTGAGTAAGGAGAAGGCCATGTTCTGGGTTAGCTGGAATGAGAGTTTGCTGTGTGCATGAAGCAGCTTGTCTGCAGGCTCAGAAACAGGAGGATGACAAGGAAACAAAAGTAGTCATAGCTAATAGTTCTGGGGGAGGGTAGTATGTGGATATCACCCTGTGAGGTGCTTGTTTGTACATGGCCTTGAAAGGTAAAGGTGAAAATCTGGTGAGGAGGAAGAGAAACTGGAAGTGAAATCTTTAATTGCCTACTCAGGGATAAAATCTTAAACTTTTCACTCTTGCGTCCTTAACTAAATCTATTGCTCTGGGAGGACAGAGCTAAAGGTACAAAGTGGTGTACAAACTGATAAGAGCCTGGGACAAGCTCTGCTATCAGCTGGAACTGAGGTGATTGGAGAGATGTGTAGGCCGCTTGGGGCGTGCTTCTACAGGAGTCAAGGGGAATCAACTAAAGGTGTGGGGCTAACGTGTATAGTAACAGATGTTAAACCTTGTGTGGATGCCCTTATTCAAAGGCAAGGTAGCTCTTTTTGCCAGAGTCTAATTCTCCAAAAGATTAAAGACTGTTTTACCTCTGACTGAGAGGGCTGAAGTGGGCTTAAATGTGAGCGACTGCAAGCAGGCAAGCTCTCAGCTCCCAGTAACCAGCCATGGCCCTAGGCCAATCATCCTCCAAATGCATCTAACTGTGGGGTAAAGAAACTGTTTTGGCTTTCCGTGGAGCAAAATAAATTGGAAATAACAGTTCTCAAAAGTTCTGACTTCGGCTAGTGTAATAACTTGCCAGGCAGAGCTAAAACAAATGTGCGTCTCAGTCCTAAAATACTGTTCTTCATATGCTCAAGTGATCACTGGCATAACGACAGTATTGTATGAAGAATTAAATAGACAAGCTCTAAACAGCCACGGGAATTGTTATAATGACATCAGCATAGAAGGAGCTTATTGCTCGGGTTGAATAGTGGGGCTTGCTTCCTGGGCACTAACCTTTCTCCCTATTAATTCTTTGACATGGAAGGAATTAACAAGATTCCCACAGAATAGCTTCTTTATATGGCTTTAGGAACTTAATTAGAATAAAAGAAACAGTATTATCCCTAAAGCTACTTTGTTGCTGTTGGCTTTACAATAGAACTTCTGCCTAAAATGTCCCTGTCTCCTGATTCACTTCCTGCTGTAAACTTAGCAAAACAATAGACATTTCACAGAAGATACATGGTCCTGCATTTCAGCCGCAGAGCGTGTCAGGCAGAGCTCATTTATCTGTCATAAAGGAAGGGCTTTACTCTGGCGTTATAAACTAGCGCTGTTTCTGAAGTAGTCACTGTTCGGTTTACTGTTCGGTGGAAAAAACCAGAAGGCAACTTAATGTGTTGTGCCTGCTTTGTTAAAATAGCTCACTCAAGCCTTCGGGTCAGCGGAAGGACTCCGCGCCATCTGGTGCGTAGGTATCAAAACGTAGCGCTGGTGGCCGTAGCCAGTTACGCTAACTTGTAGGGCAAACAAAAACTTTATTCCTGTGTTCTCTGCAGAAAATAAATTAAATGTGTGTAGCTGGGAAAAGCTGACCTCAGTCACCATTTTCTTAAAAATGCGATTATTAAGAGGAAATAGGAACATAAATTAGTATCTTGGAAAATCTGATTCTTTTTACTGAATTGTAGGAAGTTGTTTGTGCTAGAGTGTATTTTTTTCCACTTTTTTAAAGTTGTCATCAAAGCTTAGGCAAGCTTAAAGAAACTCCCCATACTTGAAGCAGTCTGCAGCCAGAACTTTGCCAATTGTTATGACACAGGGATTTCTCTACCATTGACAGAGGGTCTTCTATGCCTTAATTTCTCTCAGATTTTGTACCTGTTAAAAGCATATAATTCACATCTGAGATCATCATAGACAACTGTTGTGGAATAGAAAAGTTTGGACAGTATGAAACATAAATTAAAAACATTAATTTGAAAAACAAGGAGATAATAAAGAATATTTCAGACAAGAACATGTCTTATATGTGAAAAGTTCTTTCCCGGTGAAAGTTGAGCAGTGAAACAGTGAAATTGATTGATTTGAGTGGAATTAAATTTAATATTCTGAAGTTCTGTGTCATTGGTTGGCATATATAATCACTAATGACATTGCATTTGCAATCAAAATACGGCTCAGGATTTAAATTTAAAGTGTAAATAAGTAATTATATATAACACCTGGGCTTTCTTAGCGAGAGAGAGACGTTCTGAAGAGCATGCTGAAATGTTATTGCAAGAGTCAAGAGCCACCAATAAAATTTGCACTGAGTGAAGCCAAGAGGCAGAATTTCTTTACAAAGTTTTAGTGCTTAAAAGGACACATGGAATTTCTGAGGACAGCAGAAGACAGAAGCAGCATATTTAAAAATAGATTGTGTTAAAAGTAAAAATAACCGTGGGATACTTATCTAAAATGAGAGAGGATTTTTTTTTTATTATTTTTTATTCAGAAACTTCCTGTCCTGTTCCTAACAGTCTAAATCAAAAGCTCACCAGCAGGACTGCATGGGCTGTTAGCCTTTCTTCTGAGAAAACGGAATATGTTGAAGTATGGTTCCCTATATCAGTAAATTATGGCATCATAATAGTGTCATCATGCTGGGAGGCTGAATGACTGATGATAGGTATAATTAGATCACTAATCTCTCTTAATTCACTACAAGAAAAACTTAGTGTTTGAATATGCATAAAGATAATTTACATTTTATAAATTAAAAAAATGGTACTTTATTAATCACTGAGGTATATTTCCCCAGGCAGTTTTTCAAGTGCATATATGTACTTATTCCGTGCATGTGGCCTCAAGCTTGTATATATTTATACGTACATTAAACTGTGTTACTATAAGTAATGAAGTCAAATTACTGCACCAGCATAACCCCAATGCAGACGAATTCTGCTTTCACGTATAGAGGTAGTTCACAGGAAGATCAATAGTGTTGATCCAAAACGTAGACTAAGACAACTGTAATAATGTTGCTTCCAAATTCTTTCAAATGGAAACATTCCGCTTGGAAAAGGGGCAAAAACTTGACACTTAAAAATGTATTTTTAAAATTCTGATAGCTGTTATTGTCTTGCTTGCTTCCAGAGGTGTCCAAGCATTTTTCCTCTAAATGGAAAAAGCATAGGAAACATCTTGCAGCCAGAAGGGAATATTCAGCAGCTTGACAATACTATTCCCGAAAGTGGTGCCTCGAGGAACCTCCAAATATTAAATGTAAATGTTCATATAAATTGTCTTTTGGTGAACTTTCTTTTTGCCAATTATTAATCCTGCCTTTACCTTTTTGTCTTTAAAATTATAACTTCATAGCTCTTATGAAGATGTTAATAGAGTTATAAAGCTGTTTAAGTGGAAAGTTGGAAAACGCAATTGCTGTCCCTCAAGTTGTGTTAGAATCTGAATCCAGTTATTAGTACAAAAATGTTGTGTAAAATACTCATTTCTGATCACCATCCATTCCCTTGGAAGGCAGAACCAGTTCAAGTTCCATATGAAGAGGACTCCAAAAACAACGCCACTGCCTTTGCACTGTGACCCGAGGGCTAAATTTACTGTACCTATATGTGTGTGTATATATATATATATTTAAAAACATGTAGTAAATATATATGTAAATATAGTAATAAAATATATACTATGTGTATATACACACATTATAATGTAATATATATATAATATATACATAAAATGTATAAGCAGTATATAGGCCTAGCAAAGTCCATGCATGGGAATAGCTGACTGGAAGAACAAGGCACTATTTTCTTTTTGTCAAAAGACTGTCTGATAGTTTTTGCAACTGGACTCGAGGCCTGAATGGACACTTCTTGCTCCATTTGCAGGCCTTGCCCCCATACTGGCCTAATGTAGGAATGTAAGCCCCGATTTTCACAGGTGGTACCGTATACGCGATTCACACAGGTTTTGTGCACGGTGAAGTCATTTTTGGGGCACAAGGTGGTATTCAGTGAGCTCTGTGTGGAATAGTTGGGGGGGGGGTGTCAGTCCTCCACCGGCTGCAGGTTGAACTTCTGTCCTCTGCTGAAATGGAATTCCCTTTCATCACAGTATGAACTTAGTCCTACCAGGGAGCGCTATGATTTACACTGAATTCCTATTCTGTTTCTTCAGTCTTTGAACAAGTTTGAGCATTATTTGACCATACAAAGAGATGAATGACTGTTTTGATGTTGAGGTTGAAGAAAGTCTAAGTGTTCTGGCAGGGAGGATTTCCAGCTTTGACAATGCTTTAGGCAAAACGGAAGCTTGATTCGTGTCCATACAGAAAGAACTGTATTTATGATTATATGTATCACTTGTAATCTCCTGTAAAAAGAGCTGGTTTATGCAAAGCTTGATCTCATATTTAATGAGAGAGACTGTGTGGAAAACGAAAGCCCATCTGTCAGAAGTGAGAGAAGAAACAGCAATAAATTTCAAGATTCCTCCTCTCAAACGTGAACTTCTAACTTTCAACAGAGGATAGAGTTGAAAAGGAGATTAGGGAGAGGGGAAATCATGTTAAATCTTAGAAAGCTTACCAACCTGACCATATTTTGCAGGAATGTTAACTGCAGTTAATTCAAATCAATTTTTAAGGACATTTCCTCAGAAAGTAAAATTTACCCCAGTGCAATGGGTCTCGCAGTCCTACTGAGCTAATCTAAATTCCCAATGAACTTAGAACTCCTTAAGTTAATGAGTCACGCACTTAGTGAAAGAGTACAGGAAGACGGCGTCTCTGCTGATTATATGCAGACTTGCATAAGAAACACGGCCAAGAGGAAAGTGCTCTCAGGACTGTTCTGCAGCCCTACCCAACGATCCAGAGCTCTCGCTGTCCT